CAGGGAGCCCGATGCGGGACTCGATCCCAGGACCCTGGGATCATGACCTGAGCCGAAGGCAGTCGCTTAACCGACTGAGCCACCCAGGCGCCCCCCTCTCAGAGCTTTTTGTTCTACTTCAGGAAATTAGTAAAATTAAGTAAATGTGAGTATTCCTCATTATACTTAGCCGTGTTTAGCTCCTGAGTTCAAAGAGCCACAGTTGGGATATCAAAAGATACGAGGTTATCTCAATCTGTTTGGTTCCTAAGTTTTAATTTGTGGATAATGAGAACTCAGAGATTGAGGAATACAAGCCCTTTTTTTTTTTTTTAAGATTTTATTTATTTATTTGACACATAGAGTGAGAAAGAGAGCACAAGCAGGGGGAGTGGCAGGCAGAGGGAGAGGGAGAAGCAGGCTCCCGCTGAGCCTGATGGTGGGGCTCAATCCCAAGACCCTGGGACCATGACCTGAGCCAAAGGCAGATGCTTAACCGATTGAGCCATCCAGGCGCCCCAACCCTGTCTTAAAATATATTCAAACCTTTTTGCTTCCTGAGTTTGTTAAGCAAGGATTCGGAGAGTCAGGGATACCTATATGCTGCATGTCAAATGTGATAATGACAGGAAAAAAGTAAGAATAAGAGAACAAAGGAGTGGGGTTGAAAGACAGTTGTTTTACATAGGATGGCCTGAGAAGGTAACATTTCAGTAAAGGTATGAAGGGAATTTGGAGTGAGCCATGAGGATATCTCCTTCCAGGAAGAGAGAATAGTCTGCTTCTGCTTACCAAATTTGAGGATTTGTGGCAGGCCAGTAGGCTGAAGTGAAATAAGTGAAGGGGGCAATGATAGGAAGTAAGGTTGAAGGAGGGTGGTGGGAGGGTGGAGGGCACATAGAGAGGTCATGCAGGTCCTTACAAAGCATTGTAGGTTTGAAGTCTCCAATATTATATCTAAACTGCTCTGACAACTGTTAGCAAGTGTGTGGGGGAGGGTTTCAAAGGGGAATGGGAGTATATTGTGTTTATATTGCTAAAAAGCTGAACTAAATGAATTAAAATAGAATATTAAGAAAAATAGTTTATATTTTACTCACATATTGACTCTGGTTCACACATTACTAGGCATTCAACATAATGTAGCAGTTCCTTCTGTTAAAGAAAAACAATCCCCCAAAGCACTGGAAAAAGTATTTAAGCCACAAGTGATTCCCTCTGTATTTCCTGAGACATCAATTTCTCCTTCAAACATGGCACAAGGTACTCCACTCAACTCTGCCTCACAAACAGTGGCCCAAGTAAGTTCACTGTAGCTTTAAAATGTTTTAATGTAAGGAGTTGTTGTGATGACTAAACCTTTTTTTTAAGTTGATATGAAAAACAATTGGGCTTCAGCTTACCACAGTTAATCTTTTTGTCTGTGTACATTTTGTAACAGAGACCTAGGACGTGAACCAAATTTTAGAGGCTTCTTGGTAGAATTTGAACTGGTTTACTGTATTTTTAGTGTTAATATCAGTTGCCCAACTATCCATTCTGTGTGTTATATAACTTCTTTTGGGTTGATAATTAAAATTGTATACCATAGCTGATTTCGGGTATTCAGAAACTTGTGATTGTATAACTATGACTTATTTTCCCATATATCTTTATTTATCTCAAAGGTTTACACAAAACAATTCTTTGGATATTAGGAAGAAAATACTTGAACTATTTATTTTACCTATAAAAGAGAAATTAACCTTTACTAATATTTAATATAAGGAAGACTTGGTGCTGCTAAGTTTGAAAACTTGCTCTGAATGTTCCCTTAATTATAGTTTTTGTTGTTGTTGAATTGTTTCAGGTTACAAGGGGTGTGAAGAGGAAAGCAGATACCACAACTCCTACAACTTCAGTAGTTAAAGCAAGTGGTGAATCTTCCCCAACGCTTGCAGAAAAAAAATCAGTGAACATGCCACCTATAAAAGAAAATGTGCTGAAGACTGTTTTGCCAGATTCTCAGCAACAATGTAAAGTTGTAAAGAATGTTAAAGTGACTGAACAGTTACGACACTGTAGTGAGATTCTTAAAGAAATGCTTGCAAAGAAACACTTATCCTATGCGTGGCCCTTTTATAATCCTGTTGATGTTAATGCTTTGGGGCTCCATAACTACTATGATATTGTGAAAAATCCAATGGATCTTGGTACTATTAAGGTAAATGTTGTCCTAATAAGAGAAAGTCCTTTTCTTGATTATAAAAGTAATCTTGTCATTGTAAAAATTGTTTTAATTCAGAAAAAGATAATGAAGAAGTTTAAAATCATTAGTAAGTCTTATCACCTGGAATGAATCATGGGAAAATTTTTAAACATCTTTCTTTTTCTTCTATTCAAACACACCCATTGTTCTTTGCCACAATGTTTGAGTGACAGTATGTAATATAACTCTGTACCCTGAATTTTCACTTACTATGTTGTAAACATTTTTCTCATTATATATTCAAGATTATA